TGTACAAGGAAGAAAGTATTTTTGTGGTCTTAATAAAGCACCCAATTTTTGGTTTACATTGTTTGGTGGATACAACTTTTAATAATCTATATTCTCTGTTTGCTCTTATGGGAAGATCTTACTCTTTTGAACTTAATATGATTCCTTCTCTACAATACCTTGTAACTGATCTTAAAACTCCGATTTTAAATCTAATGTTTGCACTAGTGCACATTCCCACACCATGAAGTCGAGGCTCTAGCCATACTAGAGGCAATCACATGGCTGAATACTAGTCAAAGAAATGTCACCATAGAATCTGATTGCAAGATTGTTATAGACGACCTCTAAGGAACTGCAATATACCACTTAGAATATGGACGTATTTTAAATAAATGCAAACTTCTTCTCAATTCCCACCAAAATTTTTCATTCAAGTTCATTAGGAGACAAACTAATTGGGTTGCTCACTACTTAGCACAGACTGCATGATCTCATGTTAGTCATCACATTTTTTATTCTATTCTAACTTGTATTGTTTTTCTTATTATTAATGAAATAACTTAAGTTTGTTTATTTAAAAGAAAAGGTATACTAGTCTAAGTTAAACCAATTAAAATCAAATAAACAATTTTTTTGTTTAAAGAAACCCTCATGATTTTTGGATAGTGAATTCTCTTTTACATTACGATTGGGAGTGTAGAAGTAGTATGGAAGAGAAGAGATCAGTGAAGAACACATTGTTCAAACATTATTTGGTAGCGAAGAAGCATCAAGAAAAGCAACAAAAAAAAATCGAACAAAATAAAACTTCAACACAAAAGTGAGAAGAGTCATGTGAAAATCACTATACATTTCCCTTTTCTTGTTAATTTATATTGTTTCTTGTCAATTTACAACTTATATGATCAATTATGTTTAAGATACATTTTTTCTTGTTAAAGTTCAACATATATAATTGATTATATATTTTATAATTTATATTTATATGTTGAAAGTAAATAATTTAAAATATAAAAAATTATCTTTCTCCACTTCTACTTTCCTTCTACCAAATAACTTTAACTTCCACTTTATTCCTTACCTATTTCCCTTTTTTTTTTCATTTCTCTTTTCTATACTAAATAAAAAATTAAAGTAGATAATATTCGATCCTTCCAAAAACAATCTTTTACTTCCGAATTAGATTAATTTAAGATAAAGTCTTATGATACTTGTTCCTATAAGAAACACTCTTACTGATCTTCTAGGTGATTGGTCCTCTAACCTCGATATGTTGACTGAATCTTCGCTCCAAGTAGTGGGAAGGGTACTTGTAAAGGCATTCCAACGTTCAAGTGAGTATTCGGTACAGAGCAATAAATGCTATAATGTTAAATAACCATCCTACCTTTTCTATCCCACCAAGGTGTATTTATAATGATGTATTTGGGCCTAATAGGCCTTTTTCCTTGGGGAATGGGTAACTAGGGTTTTTGAGTCCTAATTTAACCTTAATTGATGGAAATATGTCAAGGCCAAGGAATCCAAGAGGTGATACATTAAAGGAACCAAGAGGAATGAGATGATTTTGAAGAACTTTTCTTATGTTTGTAAATATAAGAGTTGTTTTGTATAGGTTTATTTTGCCTTTGTATTTGTAAGACACTTTATTTCATTTTTATAAATCTTTGTATATTATTTCTAGGGTAGGTTACTTGGAGACTTTGACTCCATTTAACCTAATCTTGAAGAACACTCTTTTTCTATTTTTCCAGTAGTAGAAGTGGGGTGGCAATTAGCAATGCTTGAGGGTGTGACTAGTAATTGGGCCAGAATTAGGCCTAGGCAAAATTTTACATATTGGAATCATTTTGCTCCTAATTTTTCATGGATTTAATTTAGCTAGGTCTCATTATTTTTGGATGGACCTGACTAAACCAAACCAAACATTTTTGAAATCATTTTTTTCTAGTTCTTCTTCCTTGGCCGAATTGCTTCTCATTCCTTGAAGCCTTGAGAAGCTTGTGCTACAAGCTTCTCCTTAGCTTGCTTCCAAAGAAAGCTAAGGGGGAAGCTTGCTCCACAAGCCTCTTAACTAGCTTGGACGGTCAAGCAACTCAATCATGGTTCACTTGAACCATGAACCATGGTTAAAGTTAGCTTGCTCCCTAAGCTACCTCCTTCTATATATTTGTAACTCCAACCTTTTCCCTCACTTTGGATGAATAATATTCAGAATTTCTCTCAAAATTCTCTCTTCCAAAGCCTTAGAATTTCGTGAACTTTCTTCCCTAGGTTCTGTCACAAAGGTTTCCAACCTTTGTGCCTTTGATGGAAGCACTTGGTGAAGATTGTTGTTCATCCAAGCTTCCATGCATAGGACCGAAAATACTCTTGAGGCAAATCTTCAAATCTGTACTTGAAGCTCCATGAAGTAAACTCCAATGGAGGAGAGGCACCTTGAGGAGGTTCGGTTACTTCTTGAGAGGTAAAGAAGCTTGAGGAACCAAGCTTCTAGGAGAAGGAACCTAGAGAGAAAACTTAGGAGAAAGTTTCTCACGAATTTGACACTTGAAAATGAGAGAGAATTCTGAATTATTTTTATCATTAATGTCCAAAAGTGAATACAAGAGAAGGTTTTACAAATATATAGGGAGAGGTAGCTTCTAGGAGAAGCTAACCTTAACCATGGTTCACTAGGAACCATGGTAAGGTGTAGCTAACCATCCATGGTTTCTAAAACTTGTAGGAGAAGCTAACCTTGACCATGGTTCACTTAAGAACCATGGTAAGGTCAGCCAAACCTACCAAGGTTTAGAAACTTGGAGGAGAAGCTACTAAGCTTGAAGAAGGTGACTTGAAAATTTCGGCCAAGGAGGGACTTATGAAGCTAGGCGGCCAAGTACTCAATTTGCTGCTTGATTTAATTCAAAAATATTTGATTTGGTTTAGTTAGGTTCATCAAATGATGATGAGACCTAGCTAAATCAAATCTATGAAAAATTAGGAGCAAAATGAGTCCAATATGTAAAATTTTGCCTAGGCCCAATCTTGGCCCATTTACTAGTCACACCCTCAAGCATTGCTAAATGCCACCCCTTTTTCCCTACTAAAAAAAATACAAAATGAATGTATCAACTAGGGAGGTTAAATGGAGTTAAACTCTCCAAGTAGCCTACCCTAAAATCAATATACAAACACTAGAAAAAGCAACTAAAGTGCCTCACAAATACAAAGGCAAAAATAACCTATACAAGAGGCTATGTATAAACTATACAATATACACAAGTAAAACTAGGCCTTCTCTTTGTGATTGAGTGGTCGAAGTGAAGAATACCTTGGGCTTGAAAAGCCCACTAGTCTTCAAGAGGTCCAACTCTTCTTGAATTCTTCTAGCCATAGCTCTAGTGATTGGGCCCTTGGCCCATGGTCTATCAGCCTTGGTGCCTCAATCTTCTAGCTTCTTGAAGAAGCTACCGAACCTCCTTGTTGCGTCTCCACCATTGAAGCTTCTTCAAGGTGTTTCTCTCTTCATTGGCGTGTCAACCTCAAGAGAAGAAAGGAATTGAAGGTGGAGAGTGAAGAAGAACATCAACCACTTCTACTCACTTCCATCATTAATGTTGGTTTAACATGGTCATGTATGGTTTAGTTTTCCTTCAGGTAGCATATGGTCCTGTTTTTGAGGTGCTAGGTACCCCTTCGGCTGAACTCTTAGCCGAAGAGGTATTCGACCCGGCTTTCGATCGAATCCCTTTTCTGTTAACTGAGGCATTTTGGCCCTCCTCATAGGTGATTCTTCTTCGGCCAACACTATAACCGAATGTAGGTGTTCGACCTTGGTTGAGGGTACCTTTTGACGCCCCATAGTGGGCGCCAAAATGTTCGTGCAAGAAACACTCCTATTGATCATCTGGTTGATTGGTCCTCTGAACTCGATATGTTGACTGAATCTTCGCTCCGAGTGGTGGGAAGGGTACCTGGAAAGGCACTTCGACGCTCAAGTAAGTATTCGGTACAGAGCAATAAATTTTATAATGTTAAATAACCATCCTACCTTTTTCTGTCCCATCAAGATGTATCTAAAGTGATGTATTTGAGCCTGATGAGCCTTTTTCCTTGGGGAATGGGTAATTAGGGTTTCTAAGTCCTAATTTAACCTTAATGTTGGTTTAACGTGGTCGTGTATAGTTTAGTTTTCCTTTAAGTGGCATATGGTCCTGTTTTTGAGGTGTCGAGTATCCCTGGGGTTTGTTTTGGTCGAATGGGGTCTTTGGAGGTGGCTTTCTTCCCTTTCATGTACAATACTGGTGTAAAATAAAATAAAGCAAACTACTTTCTTTGAAGGATAAAAGTAAATAATCTCATTTATTAATGAAAAAAAACTTAATGATTAATATTTTTTTTGAGCATGAATGATTAATATATGTATAGGCATAACAAATTACTAATCTATTAAATTTCAATATTCATTTAATGAACATTACTTATTTTACTCGCTACAAATTCAATTCATTAAGGTCAAAAAGTAACGACCATTTGCTAGTTCTAGTCAGAGCCTGGACACTACAAGTACTCGGTCTTAAGTTTTATCTTGTGATTCATGTATGTCAAAAAATTATCGCTTTAGCACCTCACTACACTCTGGAAGATTAAATTCCCGTCTTTTGGGACTCCAAAAAGGATTTAAAATGACCTCTTGCATTTCTCTAACCGCGCACTAGTATCATGGCCGAATTCTAAGGAAAAAAAATGCTTCAAACTAAAATTTTGCATTGTTGAATAACATGATACACTCATATTAAACAGAAAGAGACAGCTTTTATGAAATTTAATTAAAGGATCATACAACTAAACATGATTAATCCTCATCGATAAAAATTGTATCTTTCCATTGAATATGACAGTATCATATTCACTTGACAAGATGAAAATTTCCAAATTCTTCAGACTGGGCATGGTAGTGTCCAGCATTACTTCATATTATAAAACTAGATTACTTATAGGAAACTTGAGTTGTAGATAAACAGAAGCAAAAAAATGAAATACAGCAGTAAAATTAAATAGCTGAGAAAAAAGGGAATTTAAATTTAACACTGATCAGAATGGGGATCTAGAAGCAATTAATATAAAGATGATATGTGTATAACTTAGTCCAACAAGAAATCCAATTGGAGCTATTCATACCCAAAGTGAAGGTACAAAAGCTTGCCCAAAGGTATTCATAAAAGACTATTTCCCTCACAAGCTCCTCACTTGAGAATCTCACATGCCTCCCCCCATCACAGGGCTAAAAACCCCAGAGTATTTGAAATTGGATATACACAGGTTCATGTCAAAATTCAAAACCCCATCAGGTTTCTCTGGATACCCTTCTAAAGAATGACCTACATACATATATAGCTATAAATCATTCAATAGAGCCCCTTTTTGGTGTAATACACTTTCCTTCAATTTCCATCATTAAAGTTAATCACCTACATTCAAAGTCAGCCACTTTCTCTTCTACAGTTACCAGGCAACAAAAACCTGTACTTCTCTGCATTATTTAACAAATATGCTGGAAGATGTACTGCTGAGTAAGAATGAGGAATAGGTCCCAATTTCCCAATGATCTCCTTGAATGTATACTCTTCAGGAATCATGTCAAATAAGTCAGAACCCTTACATATAACATCCTGAATCCTGTTAGGGTTCAAGTAGTGAGGGAACCGGACACGATCGTTGTGGCTGTAAGCTTTCATCTTAAATATGAACTCACTGATATGGCGGAAACAGAAGCTACAATGCCAGCCAGCATCAGACAGCAGCACATCAGCCTGTCTATAGTGCGCATACCGAGTCTTGCCAGTCTTGTATCTATGGATTGAAGCTCTCCAACTCTTGTTGTCCAGAAAGAATTCGAAAGAGTACAAGTAGTTCCTCAGCTGAAGATGAAGAACTGGAGGGATGTCATCACACCACCGCAAGAGATTAATCGTGTGTGCGCTGGGAATCTCATCAACATCAGACATTATCAAGAGATCGTCGTCTTCTATGCCTGCTATAGTTAGAAGCTGATCCAGGGCAACTCTTTGATAGGCCTCCTCAATGAAGGGATTTTCATTTTTCTTGAATCTCCCTCCAATCATCCCATATGTAAGCCGTGATTGAACAAACTTGAACTTGTCCCTATTGCTCGCAAACAGCAACGGCTTGACAAATCCTGTGAATGTCGAGTTTGATTCAAGGAGTACATACTGTGTCACATAAGGATACATCTCTTTCCAGCGGATAGTGAGCATGTCAACTTCATTGTTGAACAAGACAGCATCAAAGACTCGTCTCGGTGACTGGCGAATCCCCCACCCATGAAGCTTGCAGAGAGACTCCATCGACATGTTCTCGTGATAATAGTGAGGGATTTCGTGGAAAGGCTTTGGAGGAGACTCCCACAGTGGTCTTAGAAAGTAGGAGATTTTTTGGCCGTGCAAATAGAGACCAAAGATTCCAACAGGGACAACCACAAGCAGAAATATGCAAACCTTGAAGTCCAATCCCCTTAGGATACATTTGAGTCTTGACATGCTCAGCGCTGCAGGAGTTCCATCCTGCATAGAAAATTAATAAAAAAAATTAAATTAAGTTACTAGGTTAACTTTTCATCATAAACGTAGCATAGTTGACTGCACACAGGGGCATAAAGTTACACATTGACTCTATAAACATGTAAATCAGAAGAAAAAGTACATTAAACACCCTGTCATTATTTTCACAATCTTCACATAGAAAACGGGACTCACAATGGTTGATACACATAAGATTCAAAACTACCATCATTCATGTAGAAGGTTCAGAAAGAGACCCAAAGGGTGAAAGAACCACACATTCAAGATTGAATTCAGAAACCCCTTCTGAGGTTCAAAACCATAAGAAAAGAGAAAAATTATGAATTCAAAAGGAGTGAAACAATGGCCTATCAATCAAATCATAGACCCATGAATCCTAAATTCCAAAAAAAAATCACAAAATAATCATACCGGAACATCTCTAATCTCCAACACAAACTCACTACTAACAAATTAAGCAGGAGTATTACTTCCATCCATCCAAAAACTCCATTTCAGAAAACTCCCATGGAAGCACTGAAAAACGATTAAAAAACTAAAATTGAACGGCGAAGACAATTAAACTTGACACAAAAAAAACAAAATTCAAAACAAACTATACAGAGAAAAAAAAATGAAAAAAAAAAACTCGTTAAACTTAAAGTTCCCATTTTGCATTGCCACCAAAACCCAACAGAAGAAACCCATAAAAACCATACCCCAAAAATTCCAAAAAGGAAAAAGGGTAGTGTAGAGTAGAATTAAACAAAATCCCAATCGAAAAAAAACAAAGCAAAAAAAAAAAAAAAAAAA